ATTCTTTTTGTTTTTGTTGAGATTTTTGAACATTTTGTTTGGTTAATGTTCTATTAATTTCTAATTTATCTACTATAGTGCAAGTTCTTTTGATTATTTTATTTGTTGTCATTTCTTGTCCATTTTCTAATAGTTGAAATTTGAAATTAATTAGTGTTTTAGCTTGTCTTCCATAAGTGAGATAAAATGGTATGAACTTTGTTGCACTTTGTTGCATTGTTCTATATGCAAATAGTACTGATGATAAGTAAAAATCCCATTCATTATGATGTAGTTGAACAAATTTGGTGATAAATTCACATAATATTCTATTAAGTCTTTCTACAAATTCATTTATTTGTGGGTGATATGGTGCTGAGAGATGGTATTTGATTTGGTAATTTTGGCATAATGTTCTAATTATTTTATTTGCAAATGTAGTGTCTTGATCTGAAATAATTTTTTTTGAAAAATCATATCGACAAATAATATCTTTATATAAAAATGATACTATAATTGTAACAGCAGTATCTGGTATTGCTCTTGCTTCTGCCTATTTGGTTCTATAATCAATAGTAACTATTATATATCTATTATTATTCTTGGTGAGTGGTAGAGATCCAATTAAGTCAATTCCAATTTTCTCAAATGGTAGTCTGGTTTCAATTGGATGTAATGAATTGTTCTTTTTCATTTTGCTTTTTCGTTGACAAACATCACAAGCTTTGATATAATTTTCAATGTCTTGATACATTTTAGGCCAATAATAATTTTGAGAAATTTGATTATAAGTTGCTTCTATTTCAAAATGTCCAGATATTGTAATAGAATGTTCATTAACTAGTATTTTTTCTACTTTCATAAGTCTAATTACTTTGAGTGATATATCTAGATCTTTTTGATTTCTTCTATAAAGTATTTTGTTTTTGATAAGATAATGAATTACTTTGTTTTTTAATTTCTTTTGTTTTTTTATTGGTAAATTTTCTGGTAATTGTAACATGTTCAAATAATTAACGAGTTGATAGTATTCAATTAAGTCCATTGTAACAGGTATAGGTTATTTAAAATTAGTTGTTTAGATTATATTTTAGCGTTGATTTGTTGACTGATTGAGTTATTATTGATCTAGGTTAATTCTTTCTGGAAGTGACGTGAGAATGGATCAATATTTAAATATAAGCATCCTTTGTGATGTTCTACATTATATGTATATTCACATAAAGTCATAACTCATCTTGTTAGTCTACCAGATAAATTTGAAGTATTGAATAAGCTTTTCAAAGCACTATGATCGGTAATTATAGTAAATGAAATATTTGATTGAAGGTATGTTCTAAAATGTTCTACTGCCCATTTCACTGCTAGACATTCTAATTCAGTTGCATGATAATTAACTTCACATTGATCTGTTCTTTGACTAGCATAAGCAACTATATGTTCTTTGTTATTATTATCTATTTGTAATAAAATTGTTCCAAGTCCAAAGCTAGTAACATCAGTATATAATAAAAATGGTTTGTTGAAATCTGGATATATTAATATTGGTAATGATATTAAATATTGTTCGAGTACTTCAAATGCTTTTTGACATTCTTCAATCCAGTTAAATGGTTGTTTTTTTCTCATTAAATAATGTAATGGTTTGGCTATTTGTGTAAAGTTCTTCAGTAATAAGAAGCAAGACCAAGAAAATCTCTTAATACAGTTAAGTTGTGTGATTTTGGAAAATTTTTAACAGCGGCTATTTTTGCTGGGTCTGGTTTGATTCCATCTTTGCTGATTACATGTCCAAGAAATGCTAAAGAAGTTTTTCCAAAATGACATTTATCAGATTGTAATTTCAATCCACTTTGTCTTAATTTATCAAAAACAATTTTTAAATGAAGTAAGTGATCTTTAAATGTTATTGAAAATACATTTGTGTTATCTAGGTATATGACTACAAATTTGTTTAACTGGTTTTTGAATACTTTATTCATTAGTTGTTGAAAAGTTGCTGGTGCATTTGTAAGTCTAAATGGCATAACATTGAATTCATATAAACCTTTAGTGGTGATGAAAGCTGTTTTTGATCAATCTTCTGGTTTAATTTCAACTTGCCAATATCCAGAGGCTAAATCTAATGTCGAAAAGTATTTAGCTTTTCCAAGTGTATTTAATAAGTTATCAATTCTTGGTAATGAAAATAATCAATTACAATTATTGTGGTATTGCAAGAAAGGCCATTTATGGAACGCGTCTCTTAATAATGTGAAAAGTGATACCTGGTGTCCATTTTTTTATAAATATAAATGTGAGCAATTATGCCGAGAAATCGTGGCAAAATATCTTGGCCCACCATCTAAAAATCGCAGACCAAAATTCTTGAAAATCCCTGAACATCAAAATGGATTGGAACTTGACATTCCTTACTATAACTATGGTTTTGCTATCGAGATGCAAGGGGAACAACATGAAAAATATATCGAATTCTTTCATAGAGGGGACCCAAACAATTTTATCAACCAGCAAGCGCGGGATCAACTCAAGAAAGAATTGTGTGAAGAAAACTGGATCGTTTTAAGATATGTCTGGTATTACGAAGACTCATATATAGTTATACCAGAGCACCTTCGAGAATTGGGTCTTATTAAGTAAACTTAAAACTTCAAAATGCTTTATCTATTATCTAATTCCACTTATATTATTTGGTGTACTGCATTTCGAAGTTCGGACAAAGTTGGAAAGTCAAAAACAGACTACGTTTTTTATTGTGTTTACAATGCCATATAAAATTTTTTTTGATATACTAATATTCTACATGTATTACAGTATTAAATCATAAAAGTGATAATAATAGGATTGAAGTTGCATTACGATTTTTCATTCTTTGCTCTATATAATTTTTTTTCTTTAATGATTTTTGTATTGCCCATACGAGGCTGATTATGATTTATCTTTGAAAGAACTCGTAAATTGTGGGCGTTACTGTAGCGCGCACTTCTTTTGTTTCTCACTGATCGGAATTCTTGATCAGTGCCCCTGACCATCAACTACACATATATATATAATAGATGAAATCAGTAAAAGCCAAACCCAAAGTATCAATAGTTATTACTTACCGCCCAAGTCACAACTGCCCTAAAAAAAAGATGGGAATAAATCAACACCTTCTAGATCCGTTGGAATTTCGCATGTTTCGATTTCAAAAAGTCGATATATTCCTAAAAAAATTCGTCAGCAAAGTGATTTATTCTTCTTATAATAATGTTCATATATATACATACCCAAATAATCCATAAAGTAAAATCGAAGACTTAGTCCGATGCTCTGTACCATATAGGACTTGAATTGTAGAGGCGGTGCTCGTTTCAACTTAACTTCGGATACAACTGTATGGTTTATTATATCTTTTCCTGCTCTCGCATTTTGGACATAATCGGACATTTCTTTCGTGTGATCAACAACATATGGTCTGGAACCTTCTACTATACAAATTTCATACGGTTTTTCGGTGGTGGTGTACGCAATCCCATCTGAGCGGTCTGCATTCCCTTTTTGTTTCATTATCGACTTTCTATATGCAGATGCTCGAATAGCTTGGTTCCCCCTAAAAGAATCATAACAAATAAATTTAACACGACAATAAAAAGATGTTAGAAATACTTACGGTATATAACGAATATCCGAAAACCTCCACAGTGCCTTCTTTAGAACAGGATGGATGTACGTATTCATGAATTCATCTTCTAGCATATTATGGTTCTTGAGAGGATTGTTATGTAGCAAAGAATACGCATCAAAGCTAAAAGATAAATAAGAACGTTAATAAATTCTGGTAAAAATAGTAGGTATTAATTTTGTGGTTTTCCTGTCAGGGCAGAACAATAATATATTTATCAAATGAACGTAAAACTGAGAATAAAGAAATTATACTTGCAAGGCTGGCAATGTCTCAAATAAAAATCTCTTCAACTTTCTTAAAAATGGATCCTCTTCCGGTTCCAATAAATTTTCCAGCCTGTTATCCCATTGTTGATGGGTACAGTTCTGTTAAAATAAAACAGCGATGATGTGATTGGCAAGCAAAAAGACAAATTAGTACAGGATAGTACAAAACAATATTGATACCTCTGAAAAAAACTCTTCAAGAAATTCAATCGCACTTTCCGGAAACAACTTCTCGACAGGCTCAAAGATCTCTTTTAGAACTTGCATGTAGTCATCCTCATCTGTGTATCTTAGAACGAACTCCGAAGACGGGGTTAGGTCCATAATTTCATTCCGAATTAATTCATTAACGGAATCATCACAGTATACTTGAAAACTGCGCACCAAACTGGCCATTTTCTCAGAGCATTGTTGCAGTTCGTTGAGAAGATTTTTAACCAGATTATGATCATGATCGCTCTGTGAAATTTATTTGGATCATTAAAAATTCTTGACTACGCAGTTAAAGTGACTAAAGATTGCACAATCAGCTATATACCTACCAAACTAACCCCATTTTCACGTCTTTCCTGTTCCTCCACAGTTATATCTTCACCTGTTTTTCCTCGCTTAGATGTTTGTTGTTGTGAACAAGATTTATTCGTAAGGGAAGATGACGCATAATTAGATGAATATACATCTTCATCGTCATCCTCTTGTTCTTTGATTGATAAATGTTTATAAGGATCTACATAAATGTT